TTCAGAGAGATGTAAATATTTAATGTTACCCACTACATTTCTTCAAAATGATGAAATATTAACACATTCCTTGGGGGTGTGTTTCATTTTTTTCAGACAGGACTGGATCAGAGTAAAAACTCTCAATTTTCCAGATTGAGAGTGTCAATCTGCCAGAACATTTTTGATGACCAGATTTTGTTCACATCATGGATGAAGGACAAACAGATTCCCTGTTTTCTCTGGTATGATTCTCCCCACCCCCAAGGAATGTGTTAATATTTCATCATTTTGAAGAAATGTAGTGGGTAACATTAAATATTTACATCTCTCTGAAGTCACACAGATGCCACCAGGATACCTAGCTCTACATCACACATGCTCTAATTCACCCCAAACACCCACTGTTTACTAATCTTCAGCCCCCGTCTGTGCCGATAATGAGAAAGAGGAAATGGAAACAGCAGGGATTATATGCTACTGAGAAGTCCCAGTTTCTGGTTGTAATTCTTTCAACAAACTCTTGCTGACCGTACTCCTGCTTTGAAGTTTGAACACCTCTGTATTAGTGCTTGGCTCTGGTGATTTGGCTGACAGATCTGGGCTTGGTTGGCTGGTTTGTGGTTGCATGTTCACAGTCCCACATGATGGTTTACTCTTGCACTCGCCTGTGTTGTGCCTGCTCAAAGTCGGGGCAGTACAGATTGTTTTGCCTGAGCACTGAGATGTTAATTGCTCAAATTTGCTGGTGACAGGTTCCAGACAGAAAACAGTCTCCATCATATCCACTCTTCTGTCTGTGTGTACAGCCATAGCCGTATTGGTGAATGAGGTGAGTTTCCATATAGTGAATAAATAGGGCCCATTTTTATAAGGCAAAAAGTATGTGTTGGTTTTGAGTGCTGGGTTTCAGCATGCTCTGTTAGTCTGGATCATCATGTCCAGTATACTCAGATATGTGGATAGTGCAAGTTTCTAATCTAAACCAAAAACCTCACAGTGATTGCATTCTTATCCTTGTAGCACAGGACAAGCAAATCATTTGTGTAAATAGCTTTACATCAATGTCTGTTAACATCCTTCTGTAGCTTATCTGTCAGGCCGCTGTGCAACTTGTTCTTGCTGCTGGGGTGGTCCTTTATTCATAAATCAAACACTGTTTGATCTCCTGGCAAGTGGGGAGAAGCCAATTTATGGCTTTAAAAACAAGTTGTGCCATCTGCAGAGTTACTGTGTCTCCATTAAGTACCCAGGTGTACACAAAGGAGAGCTTCAGGTATGCTTTCCACTCAGAAGCTAAAGAAATGGTTTTGTCTTGGGTATGTGTATATATATTTATATATGTAAGGTGAGACAGCATTAGTTGCAAGTGGTTGGCTTACATGTGATGACTGCCAAAAATCCCTGTTGGAGCTTTGCCCCTCTGAAAGGTGCCAGCTAACAGATTCCTCATCTGTGACAAGGATGGAGAAATAAATGGTTTGTTTACAGGGGTTGGTTGGAATCGATCAGGCTTCAGATGTTTCCCTCCTTGTCTCAGCGGTGCACAGTCAGAGCTGACAGATGCTCTGGTGTCCGCGGTGACTCAGCAAACCCCGCTGTGCGAGAGCTCTGTGGACACGGTGGGTCCCCCGGTGTCACACAGCTGCCTTTGCTGTCCCCGCAGTGCCTCTCTCTCCCTGGCCCCACAGAAGGGCACGCAGCCTCTGAGCTTGGCTGGAGCAGCACTCTGGGAGGCTGTTTTCCTTGGGCTTGGATTAAAAGTGGCTGCGAGGCTGCTGCGAGGTACCTGCTGGGTGAGCAAATTCCAACCATCTTGAACAATCCCAAATGTCTGGGGAAGATATAAAAGTGTATTTGCCCCACCAGCAAGTCCAAGCGCAGCTCTGGCACGGTCTGCTATGTGGGACTAGATCCTCACAGAGAGGTTGACACATTAAAAGTGACTTTGTAAACGTAGCCCCTTCTTAAAATGAAGAGAAATAACCCATCTCTTTTGAGGGATCCAGGCTGTCTGAAAGCTCCTGGGGGAGCAGCTGGGTGAGGACAAAGAGGCAGTGTGCTGAGAGCAAGCATGGCCACTTCCTGAACTCTTCAACTTCCCCTCAGCGCCTCTGAAGCTCGGGGTCCGGCGTATCATGTCTCTGCACGCTTACCAAGGGGAAAATGCTTAAGCTGCACGAGCCTCACTGTGCTCTCAAGTGTCTTCCAGTGTAAATAATACCATGGCCATTTGGCCCAAAACCTTCAATGGGGGCAGAGCAGGTGCATCTGCAGACATGTGTTTGCACATGCTTTCCTACAGCAGCTGCAGGAGCTCAGAGGGGCATGCACAAGAAGGGTGCATGAGTGAGCGTCATGCAAAAATCCATTTTATGGGCTCATTTGTTGGGGGCTTTTCAGTCATGCACGTATTTCCTTTTGCATGTGTGTCCTATGCATGTTTATGCATAAAATACTTGTATCTTTCATTAGCTGGGGGTAACTTACACGCTTAGCTGCTGTTCTGTAAATCGTGTTGTTGCTGCCTCTTTGCCAGAGGTCACTACTCTCACATCTTTGTGGATAGGAGGGATTCTCAAAACCACTGTTATTCCATTTCCAATTATTTTAACCCACTGATACAAATTACTGGAGCTAGTTTGCTTCGTTTGGTAATAATGAACTAGTGAGCAGTGGTAAGAAGCCCTGAGGCAGCAGATGGGAATGTAATCCCTGGCTGGTGGTCACCAGGAGGCTGCTCACAACATTGATGTCTTCATCTGGCACAGTTTAATTATAAAGATGACATTTTAGTTGAAACCTCTTAATTTATGTAGAAATTGCATAGAATTCATCTACCCATGGGCAAAGAAGCAGCTCCGGTTGGCTTGCTCTGGGCCTCTCACTGTAGCCATGGTTTTGTGTGACAGACTGGGTAGTGGCACAGCCAGCTTCCTCCTAGCACTTGTCTGGTTTTGCCTGAACATGAGAAGAGGGTAGAAAAAAATCTAATGAGCTTTTGACCACTAGATCAGCTCCTCAACGTGGTTCATGGCACAGGCTGTGGAACCACTGTGCCAGCACACTTGAGGCGGCTGTGGGGTGCAGTGGGAGAGCTGAATGGTGGAGGCAGGACAGCTACAAATCAGTGTTGCTGCCAAAAGATTTGCATTCCAAATTTGCAGCCTCGCTGTCTGTTTGCTCTCTTCCTTCCTTTAAGATTTTCACATTCACCTTAGGTACAGCTAAAGCAAATTGTGCTCCAGCCCACATCTTTGCAGTCAGTCTGTAAGGCAACCCCTTTGGTTTTGTAACCCACTGCTTTGACACAGGTCTTGCCAGGCTGATCAGTCTCCCAGACATTGTCTGTTGGTATTTCAGCTCTCACTAAAAAAGGAATGTGACATTTATCTTCACCCCCTCCGTTAGCTTGATTGAAGAGTTTTTAGTGTTTTCCACAAGGAGCATCTTCCAGCAGAGCACCAGCTCCTTGCTGACTCTGGTGTGACCATTCTGCCTCTACTGTGATGTGGTAGTCTTCAAGCCTTATCTCCAGACTGTGTCAGTATTCTGCTGGTGGTGTACTTAGGGTTAGAGTGCCTTTCCAAAATTCATGTTTCTTTAAAAAAAAAAATTTTGGTCAAGCACCACCTAATGACTAGTCCTGTAAGCATAGTACTCTAATCCACAACTTTACTGTCCTTCCTTTTGTGACATGTGTTCAGACATGTGTGCCCAGTACTAGATAACAAAATCTGGATTCACACTGCTACAAATGAGAGAATCTCTGCTCTTCTGAAGACATAAACTACTTTTCATAGGATTCAAACTTTGGTTTACTGTATTCAAATGAAAGCATTTCTGAAAATTGCTGATAACTGCATCTGTTTGAATTCATCAATTCACTACCACTCTGAACATCTGGTAAACAAACACCCTTGAACTGAAATTTCCCACGCCTGCAGTGTAATTACGTTCTCCACTGCTGCATTTGTTTCCCCTTTAAAAGAAAGGGGGGAGGGACACTGAGCATACTGTGGCAGAATCATATTCAGCATTTGGTATTAATATATAGTACAAAAAGGTCCATTGAAACATGGAGTGACTCAGAAGGCAGTAGAGGAGGGCTTTCTGGCTATGCAGAAATGTCAATGGTTCAACATTAGATCAGAAATTTCTTTAACATGTTGTGAGGGACAGTCAGTTGTTTCATCTGATGTTAAAACATAAGCAAAGCGACTCTAGCAAGGTGCGGTGAGGAAGTGTGTGTCACATGCTCCTCTACAGGAAACGGGACTGGAGCTGCTGGGGAAGTTCAGAACTGGGTGACCTCCAACGGATTCCAATAGCACAGGTTAGTTCTCTTAAAACATCTCTTTAGCTGTCCTACAGGGGTTCTGCACATGTATTTTCAGTGATTTTTGGCAGCAGCGGATAAGGAGTGGTCTGTGTGGCAGCAGGGAGCGTGGGATTTCAGAGGAGGGCAAAAATATTTCTCTACAGGGCAAAAATAGGAAGCTCATCTGTGGGTTAGCTTGGGTTGTGTGAAGCTTGGAGATTGCCTTGCAGTACAACAGCAGTGTGGACCTCAATCACATTAGAAGTGTGAATGAAATGTTCTCCATCTTGTTAAGACTTCCATAAAATAAGTTAAAGGCCTGGATTTTTAATAGATGTATTCAGTGTTAATACCTGAAAGCACTTTTCCAAGTAGAGGTTAAAATCATTGACTGTAGTGAAAGCTTCATTTAGTTTGTTTTGGCTGTACCAAGTATCCTTGGGTATAGCTCCTCGCTTTGATTTTACTGGCCTAGTTTCTTGTTAAGGTGTTCTCTCATTCCTGGTGATTTCTGTTGAGAAGTTGCATCATGACTTTTCTGTGCTGGGGGGTTTCGAATTGGGAGCACATTGCATCAGGAATGAAATGAAGCTAGGTTGGTGCCAGAGAATTTGGGAGCTCTCAGAGGGAGACTCTAATGGGATGTATGTTTTGTACTCCTGCACAGATAGGCAATTGTGGTTAATTACAAATCCTAAATGCAAAGTTTAATGAAAGTTACGAAGGTAACAACCTTCAGGATGATAAAATGTATAATACAGTAGTAAGTGCACAGAACCTGAACTAAAACTAAATCTGAGCGTGGGGTCCACGTGGTGCTGGGAGAGCATGAGGAGGGGAGGTGATGGCCCCACAGCCAGCTCCAGCAGTGGTGGCTGGAGGCCAAGGTGTTTGCTCTGCAGAGACCCCCCCTGCTTGCCCAGGCTCACAGCTTGTGAGGCAGAGGGGCCTGGACAGGGATAGTGGCAGCAAGCTCACGCAAAATGCAGCTGCTGGGGATGACAGTGCTGTAACAAGGCCGTGCCAGGCATTAAAATCGGAGATTTGAGCGTCAGGCAAGAAGCCCTAAAGTTGCCCATACTTCTTTCCAAATATTTTTAAAATATTTCTCTGGTCATGTAGAAAACCAGATTAAGTGGCACAACTCTTTCTCCCTCCTCGTACCACCAAGTGCATCCATCCTGCTCTCAGTGTAGAAACATCTGTGTGAGATGAACGTAGTGGCTCTCTGCAGACCGGGCTGCTGCCACCTCCTGCACATGCAGTTGGATGCTGCACCTGGCCCTGCTGCGGGGCACGGAGGCTCTTGCCAAGCTGGGAATAGCAGGGCCCTGCTCCTGGGCAGTTAAACAGCTCTGTGGTTCAGCCTTGCCGAGCTTTGCTCTCCTATTTCGAGCTTTGGGGCTTTATATGCAGAGAAGGCTTTGGCCTTAGCTGGGCTCCCCTGCTTCTGTAAAATCAGCAAGTTTTCAGAAAGCCAAGGTTCTGCCCCAAATCAGCCTTTCTAATGTATTAGGGTTTATAGCCTTCACTGGAGCACTGTTTAACTAGGAATGTGATTTAAAAGCAATTTAGTAAAATCCCACTGCAGACATTTTCATTTCAGCCTAATCCTGTCTTATAGCGGCTCATCTCAAATAGATTAGGAGTTGTTTTAAGCTAAATATAATGGCTCATAAATAATATATTTCAGCCTGCATGCAGTGGCTTGTGCCAGGTATTTGAAATGGAATTAAAAAACAAACTGATACACATTCCTAAGTAAATAAACCCTAACAGTTCTACTCTGCTACCAGGAGTGAACATAGGCAACCAGGATGAAAGAGCAGGAGAGTTGTTGAAGAGGGGGGTTTTTGAACGGGCTCTTTCCAGCAGCTTGTGTTATGAAAACCAGGGAAAGAATGTTTCTTCCTCTAACAAATTAAAAAGGAAATCTGCAAAAAGAGGAAAGGGAATAAAGAGTACAGACTAAACAAAATGAATTAAATATGCATTGGAATGAGAGAGAAGGAAACCAAAAAGTGAAAATAATAAAAAATGGAACCAGATGGGGACAAATTCTGTGCTCAGGAAAAAAAGGCTACTCTTTTGCTGCATTTCAGGAGGAGAGACTGTGTACATGTGTTTGTGCATATATCATCTATGGAAGAAAAATTGATCTTTCTATATGCTTTTTTAAATTGCTTGCTTGTTTCTTTCCCTTCAACAGTGCTAATACAGAAGTTTATTGATTTGAGGGAGCTTCCAAGTTAGATGAAAGCACGATTAAAAAATCTTTAATTCTGCAAATAAATAGAATAAACCACTCAATGTCACCTCAATCACTGGCTTATTTTACTCCCCAAAAACTACGTGGCTGCATTGTACTGTCGAACTTGTGTCCACTGTGCTCTTGGATCCATAGCACAGAGTTATTCTACTCTCTGCAAGGGAAAAAGTAGGAGATTTGCAACACTAGCTAATGCAAACTGGAACTGCGTAGGCCAGCTTCAGAGAGTTTATTGCAGAATCCCCTTGAGGGTTTCATTTCACCACATAGCATATGCAAAGGCTGCATGGCTGTGAGGGACTGGGGTCCTGAGACCGATTTCTAAATAGAAGTAAATCTGTAAAATGTTGAATGGCTACTGTTCTTACATTTTATTTTAAAATTACTGGATTTTTAAAGATTTTATTTTGTTGGTTCAAATAGTAAATATATCAGTATCAAATGGTCAAGTGTATTTTTTGCAAGGACATTATTTGCAGCACACCTGTCACATCTTCCAGGCTGTTACCTCTCCTTTTCTTCACCCCACACATTTGTTTCAGCTTTTGCATGTGTTTTTCTCTAGCCTAAACTACAGAAACCTCCTAATTACATAGCTTGTTGTTGAACCATGTCTCTTACGAGGGGCAGCTGTTGTAGTGGATAACTCTGTTCAGTCTTACCATCACATCCGTGTTTTTTTATGCCTTTCTGTTCTCCTTCCACCGTTTATGTTGGCTTTTATTATGTATGTTATGCTGAAGTTGGAAGAACTGTCTTAAATTTGCTTGAGAACAAGCTAGGTCCTTTGGCCTCAGGGAGAGATATGGAGAGCCCAGCCAGTGTGTTTTCCTGTTCTGATTCCTCTTTAGAAGGAGGGGGGCTCTTTACAATATGCTGCCACTTTCTTATACAGAATTTCTACTTATGTGAGGAAATACATAATGGACACATGCTCAGACTCTGTGATCTCAAATGGTTCACAATTAATAGTTCTTTTCCTTTCTTCCCTGCAGGATTATGCAACCCGGGAAATGTTACTGCAATTTAATTAACTTCAGAAAGTGTATTCTGGACTGAATTGACCAGACCTCCTATTCTATGCAAGCATCTCCTGCTGGTGACCAGGTACAGAGCCTGTGGGGTTGGCACTGAAGGGAGGGAGTGGGTGGGAGTCAGGGAGTGAGCACAGTGCAGGGAGTGCATCTGCTGGCTGTCATTCCTGGCCTGTAAGAGTTGGAAGCCACAGAGCCATCTCATGCCTTAGGTTGCAGTGTGACGATACAGGAGCCATTCTTCTCCAGGGCAGGATTAATGGCAGTGCCAGTTTACAGGCATGCTCTGATGTGCCACACCTTTCCTAATGTCAGATTTAGGTACCTTAGGTCACATCAGATTTTATGCCAAATCCATAAGCTTTTAACATGTGCAGTGAATTATTTTCTGTTTGGGGTTGTTTTGGGTTTTTTCCCCATTTCAGTAGTACAAGACTAACAGTGAAGGGATTTAAGGCTTGGCAAGTAGGTCAGGAGACCTAAGGTATGGATATGACCAGGTACAGTGAAACTGAAGTGGTCCTGATTTAGAGCAGATGACATTATACTTGAAAACTGCACAGTGAAGCCTGCAATGTTTACAATTTTATGCTAATAAACAGGTATAGTAGGAAAAGGTTCACTGTAACACATGGTTAGTAAGAAAGAAAGAACAGTGAGTTTACTTTTTTCAATTTTAGTTCAATTATTTTTTAATTTGATTTTTGGTTTAATTTTTTTTCTCATTGCAGCAGAGGCTCCATCAGAATGTGCTGTAGATAGGCTGCAGTGTACTGATCTACAGCTGGTGCAGTCCAGCAGATCAAGTATTTCCTATCTCAAATGCTCTGTGTTGTAAACTCCAACTGTGACTTCCATATGGTTAGTGGGCCATGTAGAAACTGATGCTGGGAGGGTCCCAGAGTCATTTGGGATTTTGGTTCTCTGTAGACATGAGCATAAAACCATTTAGGGTTTCTTCTATATTAAGTCTGTAGCTGGTCCACATGGGTTGATGCTTTGGTGTAGTTTCAGCAGTGTGCTTGCTTTGGAAACCACAGTCTGCAGAAATCTGGGTGCTAGGTTTGGGAGATGTGAGAGGGAAGAGCTAGCCCCAGGAACAGATAAATGTCTCATTTCACTCATGGATACACAGCTCTTCTGGATGAGGGGTGGTGCAAAGACTAGTTTGGATGATTATTCCACAGGACCAAAAAAGGTGATACTATTGTGTGGTCAGTAGCCAAACATATCTGTTTGGGTAGGAAGGGATGGTCTGTTCTAAGAAGGGAGACATGAGGAAAAGGAAAATATGAGTATTTTAAAACTGGCATTTACAAGCTTACACTTGTCACTCCCACCCATTTCACATATATCGGACTATGGAAGGTCCCAGGAACAGCAGTAATGATGACAGCACAAATACCACCTGTGAGGAAAGACTGGAGGAAATATGATTGCTTAGCCTGAAGTGGAGAAGTTCAAAGAGATGTGTAACTGGTTTTCAAATATCAGTGAAGAGGAAAGGAATAAATTCTTCTATGTATCACTTGTAAATAGTATGAAAAATAATAAATGAAATCACAGCAAATGCAGGTCTAAATGAAGTACTGGGAAAAGCTTCATTAGCTGTTAGGATAACAAGATAGATGACTGAGGGATATTGCAGATTTTCCATCTGTGGAGATTTTTAGAGAAAAAAAGAGATGAGTAATGCCAGGAATGATATAATCCATGGTGACTCAGGGGAAGGGTAGATGCCCTCTTCCAGCCCTGCTGTCTGTTGTTCTGTATTTCAGTCTCCTTGTTGATAGTGACTTTGAATTTTTCTGGTTATTTATGAAAGCTGAATAATTATTTTAAATGCAATAAGCATTTCCATAAGGATGATACAGTATATTTCATACTCCACTTTTCAGGGGGGGAATGGAAAATGCTGTTTCTGAGTTTCCTGAGGAGATATTTCTCTTGGAAGTAAACAGATAAAATGAGTGCATTATACTCTGCAGTGTGGGGAAGTATTGAGTTATCGTTAGCAGCTGGCAGGGTAATGACCAGGTCTGCTACTGGTGTAAGAGGGGGACCTGGAAAGGCAGGTCCTGCTGCTTTCTCACCTGAACAGTTGTGGGAAGCCAGGAAAATGCTCATTTGTATCACAGATCTCAGAAGTCTGGTACTAATGGCAAACTTCAAATTCATGCTGGCTGCACAAAACCAGCTTGGTCTGCGGTGCACAGCATTCTCTAATAGCAAGTTTTGATGGATCAAGGCTCACCTGAAGAAGCATTTGGCTGCAGAGTTGAGACTTTGCTCTACCCTCTCTGTGCAGAAGCAGTGCTATTTCTCTGTGTGGGGGTGCCTGGACTGGCATTCCCTGTGACCCAGCCTGCTGTGAGCCTGCCTGCTCATAAGGGCCTTGGCAGATGTGGAAGAAAACAATGATCCCTGCCAGTCATCAGGACTGCCGTTTAAAAGAGAAAGTAGGCTTCATGAGAGTAATAATGTCTTATGATCTGATAAAATCAATACAAAGCTTCCTTTCAGCTGTGAGTTTGATCCAGATACTACAGCTCTCTGAGTTTGGAAAAAATTTGCTTTTTATCTGGAAGCTTGTGGCCTCAGATTTGAAGTGGCTCTTAACTCTCCATCTAATTACCAATTCTGGTTTTGAAAGCAAAGATGTTAGGACTTATAGGTCAGTCTGCCATGTGCTAAATTAAGCCTTCAAAATTATTTAAAATAAAGTTTGGTTTTACCCCTGCAAGCTAACCAAATCGTTCAACCAGTTTGATCAGGGGTTTAGCCATATTTACAGGATTCAACAGATGTGATGATAACTTTAGCTAGGGTTAGACAACTGTGACAGCCAGTCTCATTACAAATAAATACAAGAGGAAATGGGTGGCCATCCTCCGAAACCTGCTGTTTCAGGACACCTGCACTGAGCACCGCAGCCTGCAGGGACCAGTTTCTTTTCTTCTGAACTGCTGGTAGACTGGCACTAGCAAGACCAAATTACAGCAGTTCTCTGGAGCAAGAGGATTTGTTGAATGTTCTAAAGAGGAAATGCAAGTACTGAATGATGGTATGTGGCTGCTTTTGGTTTTGTGGGTATGTTTTCATGGCAGTGGTGTGTCATACATGCTTTTTTTTTTAGCTTGAACTACACTAAATTACTACTCTCATGCAATAAACCTGCATTTGGAATACCAGCAGGAGCTCAGCTAGACCTGCTATGTTGAATGGAGGGCAATAACCTCCAAACCCAGCTGTTGCCTGGGTCCCAGTGAGTTCCTGTGCCACCTGAGTGGCAGGCTGCCTCAGAGCTGCCAGCTGACACGGAGATGCCATGCTGGCTGGGCACCGCTTCCAAAACACTGGCACGAGCCAGGAGCCACTGCTGGCCCTACAGCAGCTGGATGAGGCACCTTATCTCTCCTCAGGCTATGGCTTGTGGCTCCTACCGAGTTCAGGCAAAATGTGGATTTGTCCCTCTTGGCATATTCACCTTCCTGGCACATCTGCCTGGGCCTGACCTATTCAGTCACTAGGTGTGGCCTCACATGGGCTGTCACGGCAGTGGCCTGAGCCCCCTGGTAAACCCATGCTCTCTGGGGCAGGCACCCACACGGCACACTGCCTTTGGCTACACTTGCTGCATGGAAACATTTCATTGCTGAAGGGCACAAAAAACAGAGATACAAATATTTAAAATAAAATGCAGATAACTGATTGGAACCTCTTGGATTTTACTCACCCTGACTTGGGAAACACTTTTAACATGTGTTGACTGAGCCAGCTTCATAAGTAGTAAGTGGAGGGGTGCTGTGCGTTTCCATCCTGGGTAGCTACAGTAGGCAATGCAGCTCTGCTGTTTTCTCTCTCAGGAAGGCAGTCCAGGACATACCCCCTCTTTGTGCCAGGGGAGATCAACTAGTTTGTGTCCTAAGCTGTGAAAGATTTTGCCCTGACTATATTTTTGGCAGAATCCATTAATAATCATTCTTTCCAGCTTCTCCTCTTTGCTTACTAGCTAAGTACTTGCCATGTGCAGCTGTAAAAAGTTGTTTCCAAAGAGAAATAAAGTGGAGCAAAGACTCCTGTAATTGGAGATGGGGAGGAAAGCAGAAGGGCGTTTTCAATTTGCTGTCCTTGGATTATTTTTGTTTGATTTGTGCCATGTTTTAAACTAGAGCCCTTTGCAGGACTGTGTGCCCTCTTGCCAGCCTGCATCTGTGTCCTCCCAGTCCCAGCTGGAGCAGCACCAATTTGCCCATGTCCCTCATGGGACCAGGGGATAATTGGGGCAGTCAGCATCAGTCAGAGAGCCCTATGCTACATCAGCCATGTCAATACATTAAGATCAAAATCTCTTCAAGATTGACAAGACATAAAAATAGTTTCCCTTTCTCTTTTTTTTTTTTTTTTTTTTTAACCCAAACCCCACATTATTAAACGCACACGAATTTTAGTGCTTTGCATTGTCTTTCACGTAACATTAGAATTGCTTAGAGTTTGAAGGAACCAGACTGATGAAAAACAGAGCTGGTATCTTTCCATCTATTAGATAATTGCCAAAACAAGTAGAGAAGCTTATTTCATAAATGAAATCTTGAGAAGCTATCTTATAGGGCTTCCAGTTGAATGATGAAACCTTAGATTAGTCACAGACAACTTAACTGTGCGCCCTTACTGTAGGTGTATAAATTGGCATCACTTGCTGCAGATGTGTGCTGTGTACTCAGATGCATATGTGCAAATTTCATGGTCTCAATATCACTGAGAATTCAGCTAAAGGCCCAGGTGTATAATCTGAAACCTCCAATTCAATGTTATCTCGTCTATATTTCATAAATGTATGTATTGCATAAATAGCAAGTCCTGCTGCAAAGGCAGATGGAAGGATTTATGTAAAAATGGCTTTACAAAGCTATCGTAAATAAAATTTTTATTATAGCTCTGTTCTAGTAAATGAAACAAAGTGTAATTGTGGTTGGTCAATACTTTGATCTCAGCTTGGCTTATAATGATATAAATACAAAGAATATTAATATTGCCTGGATTTTGTTCTTTGCATTTTGGCAGTTTATTTAT